TTGTTTTTAATGCATGTGCTAAACTTGCTAATGATCGAGCAATGAAAATTGGAAAAAAACTTCTTGATAATATGCCTAATGATTATCGAAATAATAATATTCTATTAAATTCAGCAATAGATATGTTAATGAAATTTGGTGATGTTCAAAGTGCTGAACGCATATTTGATTCAATCAAGAAGAAAAATATTATTAGTTATGGTGCTCTAATGAATGGTTACAACATCAATAGTAAACCATGGAAATGCTTTAAAATTTTGGAAGAAATGAAACAACAAGGTGTTGTTCTGGATGAGCACGCATGTAATATACTTATTGGTACATGTTCAAAAATTGGTATGATTCGAGAATGTCAGTACATTATTGATCAAATTCCTTTGCATATTCAAAATCTGAAACAAATACAAACTTCATTGATTCATATGTGGGTAAGTATTGATTATTGATTATCATTGACTAGTCCATTTTATTAACTACTTGTTTGTTTTGTCATATAGAGTAAATGTGGTTCTATTGAAAAGGCACAAAATATATTTAAATCAGTTCACGATCAGGATATAATGATATACAATGCAATGAGTAATTTTATTTATTTTTATTTCTTGTTTGTTTTAAATATTATATAATTTTTTGTTTTTAAGTTAGTGGATTTGGACTTAATGGAATGGGTCTTGAAGCTATTGAATTATATAGAAAAATGCCGAATGAATTGCAAAATGAAATTACACATATTTGTGTATTAAATGCATGTTCTCATTCAGGTCTTCTTGATCAAGCTCGAAATATCTTCAATGAAATTCCTTTAAAAACAGAAAAAATCGTAACTGCTATGGTTTGTTTTTCTAATATTTTATTTATTATATTAGATTAGTTGTAATTATTATATATTATATTTAAGACTGATTGTTTAAGTCGTTTGTTTTTATTTGATGAAGCAGAAAAATTGATAGATGAATATGAAAAGACAAATTCACCAAGTTTTATCATGTATTGTAAGTCCTTTTCATAATATTATATTGATGTATTGTGTATTTATTTATTTTCTATAATTTTAGCGTGTTTATTATCTGGTGTACGTAATAATCGGAATAAAAAATTATCTGAGAAGATCTATAATCGAATGAAATCTTTGTTTCCTGATGAAAAAGAAGGTCTTACATCAAGTGTAATTCTTGTATCGAACCTATATTCATCTGTTGGTGAACATCAACAAGCAAAAGAATTTCGATTAAGTCAAATAAAAGAATTAGGAAAGAAAGTCAAAGCAGGTTTATCATGGACTGATGGAAGTGGTGAAATTGTGGTAAAGTATTTCTATTAAACATTAAAAAATGAAGAAAGTTTGTTTTGTTTTCTAGGCATTTTCGGCTAATGATAATTCTCATCCTCAATTAGCCGAAATTCATGATGAAGTTAATCGAATGACATCTGAAGTGATAAAACTTGGTTACAAGTGCGATTCTTCCTGGGTTACTCGTGAACTACGGGAAGAAGAAACAATTGAATCAGCTTTAGGTGGTCATAGTGAAAGATTGGCTTTAGCCTTTAATTTTATTCAAAGACCTGTTCCAGATTTTATTCAAATCACCAAAAATCTTCGTATTTGTGGTGATTGTCGTAAGTTACAATTATTCATCTCGATCGTTCTTTTAAGTATATATATATATCTTTTATTTTTAGATGCATATACAAAACTGGTGGCTAAAGCTCGGCAACGTGACATCATCATTAGGGATGCTAATCGCATCCATCATTTTCATAAAAATGGACAATGTTCTTGTCAAGATCATTTTTGATCTTTTTTTTTTTGTTGTGTTTTTTTGTTGTTTTCTTTTTGTTATTAATATATTGTTGAATAAAGAACTCTTTATCTATATCATATATTTCACATATATATCAGGAAAGAGACAGAATAAGCCGGATTACAGAATATTATTATTCGGTTTTGCACATAATTTGACGAAAGAAAAATTCATATTTTTAATTCTTTCTGTTCTACATAACTGTGTGTGACGAATTATGAGAGTGACTGCCTATGCCTTTCGGCACGATGGTGTGTTGTGTCATCTGCACTCTCGCAACTGTCCCTTTCGCTTTATTGAACATGCCTTATATATTAGAAGGAACGGTCACACATGATAGAACAAAGACAGATATAGAAGGTCAGTGCTAGGTGAAGAGGTCACGATACAAAGTGAGAGAAAATATATAATAGGTGAAGCATAACGGTCATCCGCCGTTACACTGTGGATCTCTTTTTTTTTCTGTTTCAGAAATTAGATCTGATCGAAGAATTTTGAAAGCCATTGTATATATATATATTTGATTTTTTTTAAAAAGAGTTGTGTTATTGCTGATGACGATGATGATGAAGGAGCGGAAGAAGTCAAATAATTTCAGGTAAAAAAATCCTTTAAAAAAAGTAATCAATTAATATTTGTATACATATATATATTAAGGAACAAGAAATGGAAAAACAAAAATTACTCTATGAACAAAATCGAGTAGCTAGTTGAGGTGCTGCTGAAACTGTATTATTATACACAAGTGCAAGCAAAGGTATTTTTATTAATTTATCATTTTTTTAAATATATTTAAATTCTAAATAAAGGTAAAAACAATGAAATGCTTTGACGAACATTACAACTTGGTATATCATTATTACATGGTGGTAATCGAGAAGTTCAAAAAGTAAATTTTAATTTTATATGTTGTTATTATTAATATTGAATTGATTTTAGCGAATGTTAGATTATTTAAAAGAAACAAAAGATGTTGAATATTTTACTTCATTAGCAACATTAATGGCTAATTGTAGTGTATTTGATCTTGATACATTTGAACGTTGTATTAAAGCTGAAGTACTTGGTATGTTAATTTATGATTTATTATGATTATATTAAAAGTTTTTCTTTTTTTTTGTAGGTGTTGGTTCGAAAGAAATGGCTGGAGAAAAAAATTTACATGATGCTGATTTTATAATATCACTTTTTCGTTTTTGTCAACTTTTATGTGAAGGACATAATCTTGAATTTCAAAATTATCTTCGTTTACAAATTGGAAGTAGTACAAATGTGAATATTATTATTTGTACTGTTGATTATTTACTTAGTTCACAAGTAACAAAAAAGGAGAAGAAAAAAAAAGAAAAGAACTTTATAGAATATTTTTATTAATTTAGGAATCATTAATGGATTTTTATTGGCATTATTCAGGCAAAGAAACAATTGATGCATATGGAAAAGAAAATCTTTGTCGAGTTATTATTGTTGCTAAACAAGTTTTTAATACATTAACAGAATATATTCAGGTTTGATATGTCAAAAAAAAAAGATCATCATTATGTAGTTGTTTTTTTCTTAGTCTATTTTTAAATATATGAAAAAATTATATAAAATTACAAGAATATGTCCTAGTGACGAGACAATCTCTCCAGAGATCAAATCGTTGTTCGACCGAGATGATGTTCACTTGATACATAACAGGATAGTTTGGTTTTCCGGACTTTCGTTCTTGAGATAATCGAAATTTTACTGGAGATTTACCTGATCAAAACTTTTTTGTTGAACAATTCAGTAAACTTTCGCGATAGCTCAAAAATAAAGATTTGGACAATCAAACTGTTCTATTACTCAATAAATAAACATCTTCTCGAGATGGGCTACTATGAGTTATTTTTTTTTGTATATTGAATATTACGAAAATATGATGTCTTTTATAAGATTTATCTAAATACATCTCAATATAAATTAATTAATCGTAGGACTGACTTTTTTCTCTCCAGTGGAATTTATTCTCAAAAGACTATTTTATCATAGGGGATTGTCATAGAAAATTCTTAACATCAAAATAATTCTTCAGCAGATCTATTCGAGATATAAGGTATAACAAAATTATAGATTCTTTTCCCTTCTATTTTTGAAATTTTTCAACAGAGACGAATAGTTAGGTCAAATCTAAATAGTGATTTGATTAGCCATTAATATTCTCTATCGAATACACCTTTGGATCAAAATTTCAAAAGAACTTTTGTGAAGAGAGTTTTCCAGAAAATCCGTTCACTAGAATTTCATGTCCTGAGAAAAATATTCTAAAATACACTCATATGAAAGCAAGAAAAATTCTGAACAAAATGAAGGGTCGCCTAGCTCTCCACGATGTTTCGTTGAAAAGTGATAAATTAGGCAATCTTTTGAGTTTTTCTGATGCTTATAACTTTGCAACGAAACATCATCGAGAGTTAGGTGACCCGTCATTTTGCTCAGAATTTGTTACTCTTTCAAATGACTATATTTAACAATACTTTTGCTAAACTTCTATAGGACATGAACTTTCAATGGACTAGTTCTCTGGAAAACTCTCTTCATGAAATTTCTTTTAAAATTTTGATCCCTATTGTATATTCGATAGAGAATTTCAATGACTATTCAAATTACCGTTTATATTTGACCTAGTTATTCATCTTTGTTGAAAAATAAAAGACAGTCTATAATTTTTAGTTATACCCTATACCATTCTCTTGTACCTAATTCCCTAATATAAATTGATCACTCAGTAGATCGATCCTTTTGTCCAGCGAAAATATTCTAAACTAGGGCGTTCGAATCCTTACTCAGTTCATTAGTTTTAAATTTTTTTTAAATATCCAATTGAATTATTTTTCTAGGGTCCATGTTCACAAAATCAATTAGCATTAGCAAATAGTCGTTTGTGGGATGCAATTGCTGGATTTTTCTATATTTTTGCACATATGCAAAGAGAATTATCTCAAGTAAAATTTCATCGATGAATCTTTCTTTTTATAAAATTTTTTCATTATCTAGGATCCAACACAAATTGAATTATTACATGAATATATGAAATTACAAAAAGATATGATTATTATGTTATTATCAATGCTTGAAGGTATTCAATATAATTTTTGTTTTTTCTTTTTTTAAATTAATATTTAATCTTATTCTTTCATTTTTAGGCAATGTTCTTAATGGATGAAGTAAATTTTTTTGTTTTTTCTAGTGTCTATTTATCTTAGTTGGTAAACAAATGGTTGATACATTAATTGAATCACAAGTTAATGTTGAATTATTATTAGAATTTTTTTGATATATTTCTTAAAATAAAAGATTTAATAACATCTGAAGCTTTTCAAGAATATGATATAAATAAAGATGGATTTATTTCTCCAAAAGAATTTCGTCGAGCTATGGAAACACAAAAAGTCTATACAAAGTAAAATTATTAATTAGAAAAAAAACAAAACAAAAAAGTATTTTAATTTTTTTATTTAGTCAAGATATAGATTATATATTAAATTGTGTTGATATAAATCAAGATGGAAAAATTGATTTTATGGAATTTACAGAACGTTTTCATAATCTAGCTAGAGATATTGGTTTTAATATGGCTATTTTATTAACAAATTTATCTGAACATATGCCACATGATATACGTTTACAACGTTTAATGGATAAAGGAAAAAGTTTTCTATCATATTTTCAAGATCATCTTGATAGAATTGAAATAAAAGGTGGTGCTGATTATATTGAACGTGTTTATTTTGAAATAACTGAATTAAATATTGAACAATGGAATAACATCACATATTAAAGTTTGTTTATTTAGATAAGAAAAAACAAAACACAATCATTTTTGCAATAATATTAAATTTCATTTTAGGAATCGAAAAAAACATTTTTACATTTAGTTATTAATGAAACAGATGATAAAGAAAAATTAGAACAATTTATTAACTTTTGTGAAGATACTATTTTTGAAGTAATATTATCATATGAAGACTAAGAAATGTATCTCATAAAACAATAGTAACAGCAATTATATCATGTTTTCTTCGTGCTTGTGTTAATAACTTTTATTCAATAGAATATAATGTATATCATGAAGAATTTAATTTTGTTATGAAATTTTTAATTCATTAAAATCAATTATCAATTCTAAAAAAACAAAAAAACTCCAATAAAGGATTATTTATGTTTAATTTTGAATATTTGTTTATCATTAATTTTGTAACTACAATATATTCCACAATCTAATCTCATCGTAAAGGTTCTCTAAACAATATGATTTACTTGACTTTTTTTAAAGTCAAGCAAAAGAATAAAATAGCAAGCGATATTAGCAAATCTATCCTATGTTAACGAAAGAAGTTTCTTACTGCCTTAGTCGCTTTTGAATTGGCGCTTTACGCATCATGCAAGTTTTAATAAGCTATGAATATTCTGAAATGAACTCGGACTCTTAGTTTATTACTATGGAGACATTGTATTTTTATGGTACTTTTTAACTCAATGTCGTGACTGGAGCTCATCGGGTCCGGAGTGGCATTAAATTGACTGAAAGAAAAAATAGCAAAACAGTCGGTAGCAAAAAAAACCTTTGAATCATATGGATTTGTCAAAAAAAGTATACTTCAACGTTTTCGACCAGTGGAATGAAGATATTTTACTGTATACAGAAAAATAATTCCTGTTTAAGTAGACCAACAAAAATAATAGTGGATCAAAAATATTCAGGCACAGAACTAATAATAGAGCTATATGATTCTTTATGTGGGTAGGATGTGGATGTGGATATCAGTTCTCGCTTCATCCCTAATCTTGAATTCTACATCTTACTGCTTGATAGAGTCACTTACTGGCATCCAAGACATTTTCCAGGAAAATATATTTTTTCACCATTTTTATATGATCGACATTTTATGCGTCGGCATTTTTTCTTTCGCCCATTTTGACACATATCCAGGTCTGGGTTGGGTCCGGGCCCGACAAATTTTAATCAGCTGAATCTGAATCCGGATCCGAAAATTCTAGTCATGCTCTTTCAAGAAAACTAGTTTTCGACTTTTCACTTATGGCTTCGCATAGTGACAGACCTGAATGAACATTGTTTATTGTAAAAGTTTCCGATCTTTTTGGATCTGCTATCCTAAAATAAAAACATGGAATCTGTTAGTATATATGAGTGATATAAAAGACATGCTTTTATCATAGTCATATCTTGGAATCGGAACAACAAAAAGATTTGAAACTGCCATAATAACCTATTCTCATTAAGACTGTGAGACGTTTCGAATCGAAATTCGAAAATCAATTTTTTCTGGTGTTCCTGGGCGCAATCACTTGAAAAATATTGTATCTTTTTTCAATACGGAATTTTCTTTTCGAGTAAATATCATGATTAATCGATTTGAAAAATACTTTATAGGAATTTTAGTTGAATCTTATCTTTATAAAATCATTTAGACTTACTGGATTTTTTTTTGTAATAGAAATTTTTTATAGAAAACTTGATAATTTCTATTGTTTGATTTTCTAATTTAGATGCAACATGCAGTTGCTATCAGTGGTGAAGAAGATGATCAAACATATCGAAGAGCAAAATCTTCAAATATTGAATCAAATATTGTTCATCCACCAACATGTAAACCTATGAAATTAGCTCTATCATATTCTTGATCGAGTATAAAATATCTTTTTCATTTACTTCATCCATCAACAATTTATAATACTTATAATCAACTTCGACAAATGACATTTAAGGATATAATTAAAAATTTATATTTATTATTAATCAAATGCATGCATTTATTATTGATGATAATAATTTTTGGATTTAGGTATGTTAAAGAATTTTATTTCAAGCATGAATTTATTATAATCAAATTTTCTTTAGTTTTTTTTTATATTAAAAAAAAAACTATTTCATCTAAACATTGTTATTATAATACTTATAACAAGGAAAATCTTTTTTTTGCTCTTTAAAGCTCAATGGATATTTTGTTTTGTTTTTCATGTTTATATAGAACATTAACATACTGTATTTGGAATTTAATGACCGAAGATGATCAACAAAATATACAACGACAAGAACAAACTTCTCCACCATCACTACCACACCGACATGATTATCGTCTAGGTATGTTTCAAATTCTATTGCAAGAAAAAAAATAAAAGATCAAATTGAAACTTGTTATTTCTGTTGTTTTTTTTATTTTAGCTTCGATCAGTATTCCACATGGTTCTGAGAATGGTGAAGATGTACTAGGAATCAGTGCATTTAGAGTTGGTGTTAATTTAGATTCAGAAGAAAAACATAGGTAAACATATATCAATAATTCATTTCTTATCATTCGTAGGTTTTTTTTTTGTTAACATTATAGAATGTCTTTAACTGATGAACAAATAAATATACTTTTAATGGATAGTACTCGAATAATGGAATCTTGACGTAAATCTCCATCTTCAGGTAGTATTGGTTTATCAACAAGACAATCTTTATTTTCATCAATGACAAATACAACTACACCGTTATCACCATTAACAACATCTAATCGAAATCAACCTGTAATAACACCTTCTGGACCTAGTGAAGTAAGTTCTTATTATTTGTATATGTTGATTCGAGTATTGAACTTTGTGTTTTTTTTTGCTTTTCTCCAAAGGTAAATAATCAAATTGAATATCAACAAAAACGATCATCGCCAAATATCAATGGTACAGTAGGCGAAGATGATGATGTCACGCCTTCGGAACCATCAACACAAACAGATTTTGGAAAGAAAGCTCTGGTAAATAAAGTCTTAATGAAGGATTTTTGTTAAACTACACCATGAAAAACATAGGATTTTGTTTAAGAAAACGCAAAGAGAGATTTTTTTTGTTTCCAATAATGAAAACCGCAGGTTTCTATCAAAAGTTATTGAAAAAATGATCATCTGCTTTATATTTTAGCGTTGACATTAGTTTATGATGATGATAATCATTCTCATATAAGAAATTAATTTATTTCATTTTCGTTGTTTTATTCAAAGTTCTGTTAAAAACCTCCATAGTGAGCGAGTGTTCGAGATTCCTTTTAATATGTTCTAAGTATTTTATAAATAACTTATTTATCTAAATCATATATCAAGAACTTATACATTTAAATAATGACTGACTACGAGTTTAATACAGAAATGTAATTTTTTTTTTTTTTTTTTTTTTGAGCTAGTGGAAAATTTAATGCCTCATGCCCTGTTAATACCTCTCACAATGGTAACACAAAGTGAACTAGTATCACGAAATACGGAGAAAAAAGAAGGGAAACAAGAAACATGGAAGAAGGAGAGAAAAATAAAAAGGAATAATATGGAAGGGGATGTAGGGCATGACAATAAGCAAGAGTACAACGTGACGCAGAGAGTACAGAATACAAACTAAAAGAAAGGCAGACAGTATAGAACGCTACCACAAGAGATATATTAGGAGTACGAAACGTTGATAGAGTAGTTGATGAAAGAAATCACACAATAGTGAATACGAAAGGTACAAGATGAAGAGGAAACAACAAGTAGATACAACGATAAAGCATCAACAACAACCATTACGACGATCACTTGGGGAGTGGGAACGGGAAATGGTTGGAAGAGAGATGAGGGAGTTGATCGCTTAAACCTTACGATGGGTGGTATTCCCTATAATTATAACGCTTTTCGGCTAAAGAAATGATGTTGGGTGGCAAGCTAATAAGTCGAGGTCTTCTTTTGTAATCATTGGGATGTGATCATCTTCGGTTCGTTCCATCCACCTTAAGCATTTTTCGAGTGTAGTAGTGTATGGAACTATTCTTTTTGAACGATATATATGTTTTATTCTTATTTCTTTCTGTAGCCATAATCTTCTCCAAGTGTTCCAAGCGTGTTGTTCGGATAGGAAAAGTCCGTCCGTGGAATTAAACAAGTGGGACTTATATCTTTTCCAATAACTCTTGCATCTACCTTCCAGTGATATCTCATCACCCAGAGAGGCAAATATGAGATCGTTCCAAGCTAAATCACCCAGACATTTTCTCATACAGCTAAAGTAAAAGTGGGCTAGATCATCCCGCTGGCAACCTGTAAATAGTGGAAAGATACTAAATAGCCATCCGAAAAGGGGGAGCACGTAAGCGATGAATATGATTCTTCTTAATTCCTTCGATGATGATCCATAGATCATACACTTCCTAGCGATGGCTACTCTTTGTTTGATTTTATCTTTGTAGACGTTTATCATTTTTCCCCACCCCAATTTGCTTGAGATATGATAGCCTAGATATCTGAATTCTTTGCTCCATTCAATTTTATGTTCGTTGACGTGGATGTCAAACCTAGGGTTCCCTATCGCTCTAGCGGACCACATCAGTTTAGTTTTTTCATAATTAATGGGTTGGCAAGCCAGGACGGCATAGTATTCCAGATTTTCAAAAATATTATTTAATCGTCTCTCGAGATCAATACATTGTAATGTATATTTTACACCCATGCGTCCTCCTACTGCACATGCTAGATCATCAGCAAAGAAGTTTGGAAGCGATTGATTTAAGAACTTCCACATATCACAGTGGTATGCTAGGAAGATGAGTGGGGTAATGCAAGATCCTTGCGGCCCTCCTCTCTCTATTCTAAAGTACCTAGAGCGAATGTTGTTCATTTCTATAAATCTCTTTCTCCCCTTTAACCACCACTCTATCCATTCGACAAATGCTTTTGGAATGTTAATTCTCAATAACTTCCCCAAGCACCCTTCCCACCACAGTTGGTCGAAAGCCTGGGTAAAGTCGATGAAAACTGTGGCTACCGGAGCGCTTGTGCTCATAAGTGAAGCTATCTGATCAATTATGTTCAAAATTCTCGTTTAGAGTCTAAAATTCGATCTGAAACCTGATTGTGCGTTGTGTAAGACTCCTCTATCTTCCAAAACTTTTTGAAAACGTTTAAGAAAGAGTCTTTCTAGAATTTTCAGGAAGATATCTAGTAAGGAGATCGGTCTCGTATCTTTGACTGTGCTGATCGAATCCTTTTTTTGCTAGAAGTTTCATCTTCACGTGTTTCCAATATGAGGGACCTGTATAGGTTCTGAGCGAATCATTAAAGATTTTCAATAAGGGTTCAAAAAATCTAATTAGAATATACTGAAGCATGTACGATGAACTATACAGAAATGTAATTGATCTGTCTTTATCAGTTGAAAAATATCCTATATATGTATATATGCCATTTTTCTCCTGATTTCTTCTATTCATCCACACGGTTTCATTTGTTTTTTTTTTTGAAAAGCATAATCAAAATTGTATTTCTCAAGCTAAACTTCTATCGTATATATGGTTTGGTAAAGATCAAATTTATGTTTGAATTGTCATTCGAAAAGAAATGAATGGCATCACCTTCATAACCTTGGAAACGATTAATATTCTGTATCATTCGACTCCTCAATATGTAACCTAACAAATATAAACAACTACAACACGATTTGTAAAAACTTGAGTGTAGAAAGGAAAATGAATGTTTTTGTTTTGAACTCATTCTCACTAATCGATTAATAATGATTTAACAAACCTATCAGTTTTTGTCAGATTTTATCAGTCTAAAAGATTTTTTCGACTAGATCAGTTCAAAAACTCTCGACTGATGACAATTCTAATTTAATACTAAATAAAAGATAAATAACATTTTTTTAAGCTTGATATTTGTAAGGAGTATATTTCATGTTGCATGTTTACTTGCATATTATATCAAAGGATTTATCGGTGGTTTTTATCCAGTTCTCGAATTACATAAGATCAGGAGATTTATCGATTCTGATATTTATGAGAATATTTTACATCAATAGTGAATGTCAAAAAAAAAAATTGAAATATTCTTCTTTGATCATTTTTAAAATAGGCATAGATGGCAAGAAATTATCATACATTGAAATTTATGGCTCTTTGTCTTGCTTTTATAATTAATTTTCTTATGTTATTTTATAAGGTAAAAATCTTTGTTTTGTTTTTTCGTTAATTGATGAAATTATATGTAAACTATTTTAGGCAATACCATTAACTACAACAGTTAGTGAATCAGTTTCTTCTGATAATACAGAACAATTTGATGAAGATGACAATGAAATAATAGTAATGGATCCAAGAAAATATTATATGATTTATTTATTACGAGCAGCTGCATTTTTACATTCATCAATTGCATTTTTAATGATGATTAGTTATTATAAATTAAAGGTAGAAATATTTAATTCTTTTTTTTGTTTTTATTGTTAAAATAACGATTTGTTTGTTTGTTTTGTTCTAGGTTCCATTAGTTATATTTAAACGAGAAAAAGAAATAGCTCGAAAATTAGAATTTGAAAGTGCTTGGTTAATTGATCAACCAAGTGAAAATAATTCTTGGATATTATCATATTTATCACGTGAATGGTATAAACTTGTTATAAGTTCAAAATCATTTCCTGATTCTTATTGGAATAAATTTGTTAAGAAAAAAGTTCGAAATAAATATGCAGATCAATTTGATTATGATGAATTAAGTCGATTTTTGGGTATGGAAAAAAATGATACACCAGGAAAATTTGAAATTATTAAACCAATCGAAACTGGCTTATGGACAAAGTATATAAAACAAAACAAAACAAAAAAGAATTTTATTTTATTAATTTAGGATTAAATCTATTGATATGCATTATCTAATTTGGAAATGAGGTGTTATCTTTACTGATAATGTAAGTCATAATGAATTAAAAGATTCAAAAATCAAAACAAAAATTTATTTTCATATTACTATGGATTAGTCAGTTCTTTGACGAGCTGATGATCTTATATCAAATAGGTTAACATGTGCAAATATCTTCTTCTTGTGTGAATATGTTTGTGAATGTTGTAAAAAGTACAGTACTTGATTTTCACGTAGATGAAAATGTATCTTCAAAATTTCAAGGGTGATGAATTGATTTGACACAGTCGTCATATGATCAAGTAGAAAGCAAATAGTAGCAAGGCAAACAAAAAGTATAACACCCGCAAAAACAAATTTCTGTTCAAATAAATATTATGATAATGAGGCTAAAGAAGACCTCTAAGTTTCACAGTTTAGTTCCAAGGAGTTGCACTGATAAGTACTTTTTGATGTATAGTGTATCAAACCAAGTTTCAAAAGAAGTGTTGTACAATCTTTTGCTGGCATCACACATATTACGATGGAATCAGTTCTAATAGAAAAAAAAAGAAAATTGTTGGAAATGCATTACAAGAATAGATCCAATTTGAAATAGACTAAACTTTTTGTAGATCGACTAATATATTCAATTGATATGCTCTTAAACTACATAGACTTATGAAGCAACGATTTTCGAGATCATTTGTTGTTTTTTGTACAAACATTGAAGAATATTACATCGGACATAAAATATTCATCTGTTCATTCGAATGTTATAAAGGAGGCCTCGAAACAGACTGCTCGGACTGACGATTTCATCCTTTTTTTGACATAACTTTTTCAAAGATTTAGCTCGCCCTGAGAAGGAATAGAGAAAGCTTCTCCACGCTAACCCCTTAGTCATCGTTTTCTTATAAAAGCCGAAATATATGGAATGGCTGTCTATTGAGAAAAAAGTTTTTGTAAACGAAGTTCCTTTCAGGCTCGGATCGGGCTATAAAAATGTGTTCCGATTTCGAGGTCAGTTATACAACTAACATGAATCTCATATTCAGAAAAAAATATATTAGTGCAAAAGTCTTCAGAAAACGACTAGGATTTTGATTATGGCATATTCATCAAGTTCTGCATCGTTCTAAGAGACATATCAATCAAATTATGTATCCTAGTAAATGTATTTAATCAGAAGTACTCGTCTATTGGAATGACTTTCAATAGGGTGGTTCAGACAATAGCCTACTAAGTTCGGTTTCAAAAAAGAAGAGCACGAATCGATCCCATTTCTGCCTGATGTCCACTGAAGTACTTATCCAATTTCTATAGTCGAATGGTTACAAATTTCAATATCTTTCAAAGAAATTCTTATAATATTCTTATTTTTTGTTTTTTTGTTTAGTCATTTCTTTATGTTTTTTTCTACTTTTTATTTTCAATTATTGGTAATTTCGCATTTTTTGTCTTTACAATTCATTTACTTGATATTGCAATAAATGTAAAAGCTTTAAGTATACAATATTAAAATCTATAACACACAATGGTCGACAAGTAATTATCTATAAAAATTATTTTTTTTTGTTTTGATCAATTAAATTTTTCTATGTTTTAGTTACTTTTAACAATAATGTTAATGGCTGTTGTTGTTTATCTTTATACAGTGATTGTATTTTATTTTTTTTGTAAATTTTATACAAAAGAAGAAGATGAAGAACGAGAAGAAAATTGTAAAAATATGTTTACTGTAAGTCAATAAATAAAACTAAACTATTGTAATCATTTTATCTTTACCATGTTGGTACAAATATTTTCGTCGAACATCTCATGCGAAAAGTCAATGTCATAGTTATCTCTAGTTCGAATTTCGCTAGAAATCACTTTAAAATAACTAAGATATTATCTTGTATATTAAAAATATACATTGAAGATGAATCTTTAAGTAGCATTTCATAGGGAGAGAGGGAGGGGGGGGGCAGTTACTTCTGTTCAGGAATGTATTTTGAATGTTTATGTTTGATTTTAGTGTTTTAAATTTCATCTATATTCGGGTATTCGAGCTGGTGGTGGTATTGGTGATGTACTTGAATCACCTAATGGTGATCCACTTGAATTATATCGAATTGTTTTTGATATAACATTTTTTTTTCTTTATTATTGTCATTCTTCTTGCTATTATTCAAGGTAAAATTGAATTAAGAAAAAATTTTCTGGTATTTAATGAAATTTTTTAGGTTTAATTATTGATGCTTTTGATGATCTTTGTGAACAACTTGATTCAGTGAAAGAAACACTCAAAGTAATGCATAGATTTTTTTATTTATTTTTATCTTATTTCATATTTATATTTTAGTCAAAATATTTCATTTGTGGAATTGATCAAGATTATTTTGATAAAGAATCGCATGGTTTTGAAGTAAGAAAAATTAATTTATGACAAAAAAATACAAAAACAACTTCAATCTTTTTTTTCTTTTAGACTCATACACAAGCAGAACATAATTTTGCCAATTATATGTTCTTTTTAACACATCTTCTTAATAAACCTGATACAGAACATACAGGACAGGTGATGTTGTTGTTATTTGATAAAATTTTAAGTTAAATCGATTATTTTTGATTTTTAAGGTCCCCCCCCCCCCCCCCTCAAAAATCGATCTCAGCCCAGGTACGTTCAAATGGGCTGAAATTTGGAGCATATGTTGGGGCTGATGTGTGGAGGCTGTGGTAAAATTTTCAGCTCGATACCCTGATGTTTGACAGAGATATGAACCAAGCAAGGGTCAAAAATAGCTCATTTGGCAATCCATTTTTCTCTGTCAAAGCTCATTCAATATATTTAAATTTTTTTTTTGTTTGAAAGAGCATCTCAAGATGCAGTGCAGTACAGAGTCCTTTTTTTTAAATTATTATCTTTTAAGCGGAGAAAAGGGCTGACAAGTTCAATGACTCAAAAAACGCGCCAAAAATGGTGGTCTGTTTATATAAGTGTTTGTATATATAATAAAAAACAAGCTTAATTTAAAAAAAGGACTCTGTACTGCACTACATCTTGACGTGCTCTTTCAAACAAAAAAAATATATAAATATATTGAATGAGCCTGGACAGAGAAAAATGGGTTGCGCGGTCCAGAAAGCCTAAACTGAGAAAAAACGAAAAACATTTTTTGAAAAAATTTTTTACCATATTTTAACATTTTAGATACTTTTTTGGTAGATTTGACTAGAATAACTACTAACTGTCATATATCTTTTATAACTATGCACAAATAACCTTCTTTTGGCGCTTATTGAGCTTCACTAGATGAATAATTTTATTATTCAGGGCATAAACATAATGGGCTTACTGGAAAATATTCTAATGAAATTAACTGTGAGTTATCTCAGCCCTCTTTATTGCATCTTAGCCATGTATGTTCTCTCTCGTATTATCTAATGAGTTCTTCTTGTTGGGTAGTGGCGCTATCTTTCGTCCACTACCTCACTTTTCTTCTCTTTCTTCTATATTAATAATTAACTTTTTTCGAAAGAACTAGTTGGTTAATTGTTATGTGCCAAGGCCGTTTCAATTTAAAACTATACTGACGATTATTTATATTACAGTTTGCATGGCATTGCATAGATAAATTTATTTTATCTGAAGACCTACTACCAGACTACCATTGAACTTGATTGCAAATAAAAACTTCTATCTTGATTCTTGATCATCGAAATTCAAATTTGTATTCCTTTTATCAAACACTATATGGCGATAATCTTGAGTGCATACTAGTTTCTTATATTTGACAAATCATTTTTTTTATAGATTGGTAGATATTCTATTTTTATTGATTTGTCTTTTTTTCTATTCATAGTATTGTTTAGTTAATTGCTGTTCATCATTTTGGCAAAGCTTTCGATGACGATGATAATTCATGTCAAAAAAAAAAAATTTTTAAAAAGAGCTACTTGTTATCCTTCATCAGATTATTATTTGAAAACGAATAATTCATCTGGTTTGTTTCTTTTAAAGTTTTTAATTAAAATCTATCATTAAATATATATGTCCAGATGAATTAATAAAGCAAGATTCATCGAAAAATGAAATCTTAACGCACACTAAACATGTTCATTTTGATACAATTATTTCCTAATTATCATGATCGTTTTCGACCACAAATACCATCTAGAACAACTACACAAATTGTAATACCTTCTTCAACAACGAATAATGAAAGTATCGTAATTGGTGATGAAGATATTAATCTTCCACATATATATTTTAAAGAAAAAGTAGAATTTACACCATCTGATTCACAATTAAATACAGACGAGTGATCCATATGATTGAAATTAAAAAACAACAAACTCAAAAATACAATTACGCCTTTTTTTTCTCTATTGTCGTATATTCAATCTAAAAAGAAAACATGTTCACCATGATATTTGATTATTTTTAATAGACAAGATGTTCATGAATAAGATAGAAGAATAACAAAAGACGAAAAATTTTAATGTTTTAATTTTTGATTACATATAAATATTACAGAAGAATTCAATGCAAAATTTTTATTTTATATTCGTAGTTAATGTTGTAAGTAAGAGAAGACTCATGCGTAGAATAAAATAAAAATCATTCTTTAATATCTTTACAATTTCTATATTTTATTTTCATTCTTCTTTGAATTTCAATATAATACAAGAAGTCTTTTTCTTACTTCATAAACTATAAACAAGAGTCATAAGAATTTTATTAGGAAATTTGACAACAAGTGTTTATTGTGAATATTTATATCTAACGCTAAGCAAGAATGTTCCAAAGTAAGTTATTTAAAATTGTCATAGAAATTATTCTCCATATCTTATTCTAGAAGAATCTTTAGTATCTTGTCAATGTTTATTCATTTTAATGGTCGTTGTTTTGTATATTGTGTTATTTGACGATCACTTTCAATAATTACTAGCAACTCTATAGTACCTTCATCATTCATACTCATTTGTATCGTAGGCAGTGGTCTATCTAATCCTTTACTTACACTTCGTCACACAATGCCAGCAACAATTGATATGATTGAAAAGTTATCTTCATTTTTTCAGTCTTGATTGATGTGATGATTTTGCCCTTGATCATCCTGAAGTAAAAAATATAATAAATATATTTATTAAAATAGCTGAACATGAACGTGCGAAAGAGCTACAAGAATTTTGTTATAATATTTGCTTATAGTTCATCTGTTGAACGTAGTTTAAATATTGCTGATGAGATAATATCAGAAAACATTTTTTCTGCTAAAGATTTTTCGTTAATAATACAATGGCAAAATGAAAACAACATAAAATAATTTTTAAGCCAGTATAAAGAACAGAAAAAAATTTCAAATAGATGTACCAGAAAATATTCAACTTCTATCACAATTTGATTGTACTTAAAATTCATGTTTTCATCTATTGATGATTTAGCTAAAACACATGTTACTGATGTTATAATACTTGATGCACTTCGTGAAAGTCGAATACGACATGTGATACTTGTTGATCGACGTGGACTAATGCAAGTATCATTTACTTATAAAAGACCTTTGTGAACTTACTAAATTAACAGGCTTACAATTAGTGTTAAACAAAGAAGATTTTAATCAAAGTGATCAAAATATGATTGATAAATTAGAACGACCACGCAAAAAGATTAACTGAATTCATGTTTAAAATAGTTCGAACAAGTTTGTATCTTTGAAATTTATTATTATTTTATCTAGAATGATCAAAATATAATGATGAACAATTTTTGGTATTTATAATTTTTGCGCCGTCCAAAACAATTGTTGAAAGTGTTCGTTTCGAACATACAAAACCTGTAGCTAGTTGTGATTTTTCTAATGAAAATCTATCCGTCTAATAGAATGGAATTAAAGAAACAAAACCATGTAGTCTTGTCATTAAAACTATAGATTATTATGATATAATCCCCCTCTGTACTACATAGTCTTGAATAAATTATTTAGGACTAGGATGTTGTCTCATTCAATGAATACCGCACTTACTACGATGTTCCATTTATCTTTGTGATGTTTTTCTCGACATGTTGTTGATGTTTATATAGGAACTTCTAATTGATACTTTCTATATCAATTGACCATAGGCTGACCAATTTCGAGCAGTCTAACGAAAAATCAATAGGTTCAACATCGTTAATTAATATTTACACACTTATCACATTGGCCACTACGAACATCAACAAATTTGTATGTTGCATCTGCACATATACCAGCCACATAATGATCTGCTCGAAAACTTCAAATATATGAATATATTAAAAAAAAAATTAGAACAAAATATGCCAACAAGCTCTGTATCGTTGACAATTATCACAATATAATTGTTCAATGTTATCATTGAAACTGTCTATAAATTTTTTTAATGTAAATCAAAATATCTATTGCAAGTTTCTCGTGATATATATTTCGGTTCCAACAATGCTTTTGTTTCAGTTGCTGTACTATATTCATCAGTACCATAAATACATAGTATTGTCATTTTTTAACTGACAATACCTTAAGTTTAACATTAACAATGAAAAGATGAATAAGAAATTGTTTGATTTTACTGCACAAGAAAACATCAGCATTTAATAAAGCTCCAGTAAGAATATCCAAATGAGGTACATTGTTGATGTAACGTAAAGCAGTTACCATCATAATATTTCGAATATCAGGTTTTGGTGTTTCATAAACAAAAAATATAATAATAATGCTGCTAGCGAATTTTGTGTGGGTGCAGCAGCTGTTGCTAATGACAAGAAAATTGTTTTATTCAGTCTAATTTAGAAGAGACTTCTTCACCATTCAGTTACTTGATGCTCCAGAAATGCAATCAGGAAGTAGTTAACTAGACGATATTGAGACACGATCTTCGACCGTATATCAACAAAACCTGTCATTGTCTCTGATACAACAAAGAGATGTGCAGCAACTAAAAGGGTTCTTCATCAGAATTAGTAGGCTCGAAGACCTCAACAAAACCACTTGAATGAGGATCTGCGGAAGATCAAGACGTCCAAAACTAGATTTCTTGTATCTATTCGAAGGTTTTGAAAAATATTTTTATTGGATAGAGCAAAATGAGATGTCTCCGACCTCTTCATGAACTTTCTTTATCGAACTGTCTTTCAGGCTCTCCGTAAATCGAAAACAAGTCGATGAAGGAAGTACATGGAGAAATTGATGACGCTCTATTTTGCTCTATCAAATAAAATTTTTTTCGAAGATCCTAATCCAAGCAGTTCTGTTAAAATCTTTGAACCTGCTACTACTACTTATAGAGAATTGTTTCAGTTACACAAATGTTTTATATTTCAATATTCGTTTCAGATCGTGTTTCACAAAAACATGATATCAGATACAATAGATGAATTATTTCTTATATGTTTTCATTCGATTTTGATTCATTGAGTATCGATAGTGTCTTTTGATCATTGATTCAAAGCTTTCTCAACTTCTTCTGACGATCGATTAAAATCGATTTCTTCAATGGATGATTCTACAGTAGTCTAAAGTTTTTCATATACTATAAAAGATGAGTCAATCATTTGTCATAACAATGCATTATTTTCGTCTTTCAATTATCAGTTCTTATTTTGCATCACATCTGCTCAATATACAAAGGAAAAAAAAAATACTACGAACAAAAATAGTATTCCAGAAGATTATTCCGAAAAGTAGATTAATCATTGACAAGAAACAAAAAAGGATAGTAACATATCAAGTTTTCTATTTTGATAAAACAAAGATAGTCATTTATTTGTCAGTTTATACATTCATTGTAAAAGTATAGAAATCAAATGAAAGAATTAAAGGCAATTTTCAACGAACTTACATTCTTGAATGGATTGTATAAATGACGACGAATCCTAATGATGAACAGTTTCGTAAATGGATCCTAAAAAAAAAGAGATAAATGAAGTCGAAATTGAAAAAATATTGTTAAATTCTTTTGGCAAATAGATCATATCAATCAAAATGGAGCGAATAAAAATTCAACTTCCAAGAGAAACTTGTAGCCCTACTCAGGTCATATGAAAAATCGACTTTCGAATTCAAATTTTACATGAACATGAAATTAATTCTTTGGACAAGTTGTAACTATTCTAGTTCTTTTTTTCCTATCCTGAAACATTGAATATTCGATATTTTCCATATTAACGAATCTCATTAAGAATTTTGTTCGCGCAACGTTTAAAGTCGAAATTCTATTTTCTAGATGATTTGAGGCGGACTACATGTTTATATGCTGAAAGATTCAGTAAAATTTCGATATGTGGAGAACGAAGGTTCGGAGTAACAATACTTCGACAGTCAATTTTTCTTATTCTCATCTAATGTTTGTTCTTCGACAGATAGAAAAGTTTCTGATAAGATTTTATTTAAAAATTGATCTTGTCTTTTTAATATCTAAACTAAAAAGCAAGAAAAATTTTGATGATGTCTTGAACAATGTTCGGTGATCCACGTTATTGAAGAATTATACTGCACATCTGATTATATACTGCTTTTGCAGATTGCGATTGTCCAAAATGAAGAAAACAGCTTCGCGATGGCACGCAACTTGAAGTGGTTTTTCTTCGTGGGCAACCATAGATCAGGATCACTAAATTCATATTTTAGAAAACTAAAATTTATAAAAATCAGAACCTCTACTGTAAAGGCTTACAACAAAGTGATCCTTCCTGTTTTAGATATTTAATAGAGAAAATAGTGAATTTCGAAAATACAGTTTATTAGAATTTTAGATTATTTTATTTTGAAAATCTGTACTCATGAGTTATTTCTAATTCCAACCTTCTGTAATATAAACAGATGTTTGAAACAACCCCAAACTGAAATCAATATAAAACTTTCATGTGGTTCATTTTTTCTTTTATTTTAGCTAAAAGTTATTCAACTCAAAATCTAACTTTATATCATGAAGTTAGTTCTACAAAATCCTTTATCTAATTACATATTCACATAGCAGAAAAAAAAAGACTGAAATTCTATGGCACGATAAATTTACACAAATTATGAATGACGAAAATACTGATTTTGTTCCGTACAAACATCAATTAATGCAAGTTTAACTCAGCGATACATAAAGGAATAATTAGTATCAAGGCTTTTGTACTTTATGTTATCTTGATAACTTTAGAGATGATTATAGAATTCTACACAATTGTATGAATTGTTCATCTATTAAATTTTCATTCGGGCTTCAATACAGTTATTGTCCATTTCAAAATAGAAAA